CGACAGAGAAGTAAAAATCTAGAAAAAGTGACAAAAGCCGAACGGTGAAGGTGTCGGACTGGCCGACTCGTGATCCGAGGAACGCTGGTTCGCTTAGCATTTACCTTAGCAAGAGGGGTTACGGGACTATTCCCACCTCTCTTTCCAACTGCAACTCCTGTGTAGCCATCTACAGCTTGACCGCCAATAAAATCACAACTAATGAAGGCCAAGTTTGTCCCGGGGCAAAGTTAAACTGTCATTAGACCCGTGACGAAATTAATCAAAAGAACATAGGAGGAGATTATTTACTTAACTATTCTCACCTCTCGTTCCCATCGCTGCAATTCCTGTGTAGCCAGAATCTACAGCTTGACCGCCAATAAAGTCACAACCAATGAAGGTTAAGTTTGTCCCGGGGGAAAGTTAAACTATCATTACACCCACGACTAAATTACATAATCAAAAGAACATAAGAGGAGACTAACAGATAGATGTAAAAGTCTATAGCTGGACGAAGATATCCACTACGACCGGTCCCACATTCAGGTGCTTCCCGTGCTTAACACGATGTTTCAAAGTTGTCAGTACACCGATTAGGAGGCCTGCCGTTCGCAATGCCTTCCGGCCGGTGGTCTCTCTTCTACGCTTTGGTGGAAATCAGGCCTATACAGTGAGGTCTGGACTGGTGGTTCTATTCAGGCTACGCACGTCGAGTGTTGTTACGTTCACCGTAATAATAAAGGTTAATGGAATAGCGGATAAGCGGCATGTTAACACTTTGATGGTCACATCAACCGATTTTAGCTAGCAAAATTATTGCTAAAATGATAGTTGGGCAGGGAAATAATAAAAGTATTTTTTTTTTAAATCGGTAAAATAATTATTTCTAAAAATCTTTAAAAACAGTTTTGCTGGTTCCTGATAAAGTTTCAGATAGTTATCTAAGATAGGGTCATGGTGCCTATTCGCGTCCACCACCTTATCACGACAGATCACTCTTTTATAAACAGTTGAAAAAAACTTTATCGACTTTAGTAGTGACCTAGTTAGTATTTTTATGAGTCATTCATTTATCAGTTTCAGTTTTAAATTACTCTTTCACGCAATAACCACTGAAGGGATATCGAAAATCGAAACAATTTTAAACATTAAACTAGCTTTTATATGCTATCATTTCTAACTTTAACTAAATCCACGCAAGTAAACCCGCGGGCTCAAGCTAGTAGGCTATTTTTCACACGTTTTTCTTCACACTCCCATTAAAAAGTGCCGTTACCACGGTCGCTGTAATAAAACCCGCACTTAAGACAATGTATGAATATTGCTTACCGCCGTCATACTTTTAACTCATTCCTTGGGATTATAAGACTCCAGGCTGTTAAAATAATGGTATATTGACGTATACATACATAGTGTATAATGTATTTTATTCTCTTTTTAATGATGATATTAGGGCTTGATCGAACGGGAACAAAAACATTATGTTTTGCACATTCCCTTGTTTTTTAATGTGTATTTCTTATAATTTGTCATACTTATAGCGGCTATACTTACTAATGTATTTATTTATTCAAGACACAAAACAGATAACAATTGAGATTAATTTCGTGTAACTTAAGGGCTTAATGTTTTTTCATTTAGTATTTTTGAGAAGGTAAAGTTGGTACTGTATATGTACGTACATTTGAAGGTTCTACCTACACGTGTAAAAGATCTAATCCATTTATGATACCTATGAAAAGTAAAACTTTTTATACAAATATGAAGAAACAATAGATATTATTAATATCTATGATCGTAGGCAAAAAAAAGTTATTGAATTATTTTATGTAGATATTTGGCATCGCGTTTAGTGTTGCTAGTATATGAGATACTCAAATCGGGACAGTTTATTTAAAAATAACATGAATTTCTAAAAAATAATTTTCTGCGATCCGTAAATCTGTTTCTAATAAATCTCCAGTTACAAGCTACAGTTCTCTAGGAAGTTATTTCAATAACTTATTAGATTTGATCAAATCTACCAATTCAAAAGTTCCTCCAAAATTGTCATTCTTTCTGAAATCGGAATTGCTGGTGTAATGTTAACGAAGATTAAATATTTTGATCGCAGTCTTGAGTTTTATTCTTGAGTGTAGAGTTGTTTTTAAGCGTGCGACTTTTCAAAATAAGGGTCTTAAACTAGTAAACGTCCGCACTCTAAATACCTGTGACGTAGGTGCACACTAGAGGTGGGCGCCGATATAAAATTGGCCGGCGGCGGCGCGCCGACTTTTTGACCTCGGCGGCGGCGGCGTCGGCGGCGTGACCTTGTTTGACCTTTGTNTCAATAGTGTGGGTTATCTGCCAGACGAAGGCGGGGATTTTTTTCTTGACAGCAAGAGGGACCGGCGTCTCTCGCGATCAATTATTTACTAGACCAAGCAGTAACTCGAATAATGTACTTGATTGTACCGTTGATGTCGACTAATAGTTTGTGATGACTTAAAAAGTCGGCGCCAAGTATAGGTTGTTGCACGTCGGCCAGGATAAAAGTCCATGAGTAGGGTCTGCGTAGATTTAGGTTCAGCACTAAATTTTTAGTTCCGTAGTTTTGATCACACTTCCGTTGGCTGCGTATAGTTTATAAGTATTGTCGCACTCGCGTGTTGAATAGGGTCTTTTGGTTGCAGGTAAAACTGATACGTTNCCGTAACAATGTGCCGATAAAAGTACCTTTAACATGTATTTTTGAGCTCTTTGGAGGCACATAGTTAATGTTGGATTAGCTGACTGTCGGTGGAATATTATATTCAGTTCTGTTTTATTTATATTGATGGTCTTTCCATGTCATCCTACGGTCCAGGATTTTAATGCAGGTTGATTGCAGCAATGTGTCGAGGTCCAGATTGGCCGGAGGATAAGTTTCACATCTTAAATGATAATATGGTGAGACTTCGGGGCTTAATTACATGCGCCACTTGGTCAGCCAAGCAGCTGACTTTGCAACAGTCTAGTCACCCTACTCTTCCCGCGGGTGTCGTAAGAGGCGACTTACTTCACTGAGATTAGAATCCATCAGCAGGTAGTAGAAGTGTGCTAGAAGGTACTTTTTAATTTCATAGAGTAGTCCTTTATGATAAACCCAGCTGAAGCCGCAACGAAAGCAGACGTACAGGATTCTTTCTTTTCCAAACATTGAACTGATTATGGTTAGTATGGTTTCTGCCATTTTATGGTCGGGTGTACTATAATTACATGGGTCATACTTAGGCAAGGGAATAAACGAGCAAGAATGATCCTTTTCCATAATTTTAACAATACAAATGTCAGATTAATTGAGCGATAAGAGAATTCGTTAGGCGACTTGCCAGCTTTATGGATCATTTCCAAAGTTAAGAGACTTGCGAGGTTCTTCTAACTCAGTGTGGTCATTGTCAAGACTATGGACTTCATGGTGATCAGATCAAATGCAAGTGCTTTACGAGGGTCCATTTTGGCTATTTCTTTAGCTTAGCCATCTCTCTTAGCGTTAGTTCTTTCGTTTCAGCCGAAAGACGTCCTGCGCCGCTCGCATCCATGCACTTCTTGCGACCTTCCCCAAATCGTCGGTCCACCTAGTGGGAGGCCTGCCCACGCTACGTCCTCCAGCTCGTTGTCTCCACTCAAAAACTTTACTGCCCCAGCGGCCATCAGCTCTACGAGATATGTGCCCCGCCCACTGCCACTTGATTTTAGCGATTCTGTGGGCTATGTCAGTCANGAATGCGTGGTATCGGATATCTGTCCGGCTTTGTGATGGCGTTTAAACTGCGGTAGTCTCCACAAGGTCGTATTTCGCCGTTTTTCTTTGCGACGACGTGTAGAGGGCTTGCCCAACAGCTTTTGGAAGGCCTGCAGATACCGATTTGCTGCATATACTCGAATTCCTTTTTCACTTTAGCGTACTTATCCGGGTGTAGAGGTCGGGCGCGAGCGAAAACTGGTGGACCCGTAGTCTCGATGTAATGCATAACATTGTGTTTTGGGATTTCCTTGTAACACACTGGCTTGGTGATGTCCGGATAAGCAGATAAGATGTCGTAATATGGCGTATTGATGTCTATTGTTTTGATTGTAGGATAGTCTTGTGTGACTATAGACCCAATAACGTTCAGATTGGTCACTGCGTCGATTAGTTTTCTACCGTTGACGTCGACTAATAGTTTGTGATGACTTAAAAAGTCGGCGCCAAGTATAGGTTGTTGCACGTCGGCCAGGATAAAAGTCCATGAGTAGGGTCTGCGTAGATTTAAGTTCAGCACTAGGTTTTTAGTTCCGTAAGTTTTGATCACACTTCCGTTGGCTGCGTATAGTTTATAAGTATTGTCGCACTCGCGTGTTGAATAGGGTCTTTTGGTTGCAGGTAAAACTGATACGTTGGCTCCGGTGTCCACCAAGAAGCGTAGGCCACTGTGGGAGTCGGTCACGCATAGGCGGTGGGTGGGCGTGATGGTGCAGACATCCGCCGCTGGCTGCACCGAAGTTAGTTTTCCGGATTCATTGAGTTTGTTGTTTTCTTGTTTTTCCAACTGCACGGCTCTGCGCATTTTCTAGCTCTATGTCGAAATTTGTCATGATAGAAACACAGTCCATTTGTAGAGGTTGAGTCACGGTGTGGTGTCTGATTACGGCCGCGAGATGACGAACGCTGTCGCTGATAGTTATTGTGATTGCGATAATTGTATCGAGATCTCTGTAGTTCAACGACCTCTATGCTGAGTTGTGCAATCTGTGCTTGTAATTTAGCATATTCGGATGAAACAGGTTCGGAAGTTACCTCGGAAACTTGGAGCGGTCTAGTATTTTCTAATACTTTGTCTGCTATGGTTGCCAAACTTTCTAGGTCTTTGACGTCTGTAACTGCGAGGACGGCGCGTGCTGAAGATGGCAGATGGCCTTGCCACATGATGTTTAAGGTGTCGTCAGGAATCTTGCCTCGTGCCAGGTCACGCATGTAGCGTAGCAGTTGCGATGGCTTTTGGTCGCCTAACTCGATTTCACTCNGGTCTAGTATTTTCTAATACTTTGTCTGCTATGGTTGCCAAACTTTCTAGGTCTTTGACGTCTGTAACTGCGAGGACGGCGCGTGCTGAAGATGGCAGATGGCCTTGCCACATGATGTTTAAGGTGTCGTCAGGAATCTTGCCTCGTGCTAGGTCACGCATGTAGCGTAGTAGTTGCGATGGCTTTTGGTCGCCTAACTCGATTTCACTCAGCAGTTTTTGAAGTTGTCGGTTTTCTGACTCCTCGTACACTGTCAAGAGCCGTGATTTCAGAGTTCCGAACTTGTCCGTTTCCGGCGGGGACAGCAGAATGTCGCTCACTTGCTTGATTACGTCTTTCCCTAGTTTGGTCACGATGAGGTTGAACTTTGCTTCGTCGCTCAGCTTTTGTGGTTTGAGTATGGCTTCGATTTGGATGAACCACAGGCGCGGTTGGTCTTGCCAGAAGTCGGGTAGCCGGGAAGACACTGTGACGGCAGCTAACTCCGATGAAGTTGCGGGCAGCGGTGGTGGTTGCGGAGCTGATTGTTGAAACATTTTGAATGTTGGTTTTTGTCGGGGTCACCACTTTTCCTGGCCTCGGTGGATGGATGAAGTGTGAGAGGTTTCTCCAGAAATAATTAGAGATGTTCGGTTTCCAAATTATATTGCAGATAACCAATATGTACAGAGGTTGGTGTGCGACTGATTGAACATTGTTAAATATTTCTAAGTGACACATTTAGTACGAGAAAGAATAAAGAAAATCTGATACTATGTTTTGTTTTACATTTCAATTTGGAGGTGGTGCCGAGTGCAAAAGTAAATGATGTAATATTGTGACTAATTACAAGTAGGCACACACGTAACGACGCATTATCCAAAATATCGGAGAACATTTCCTTAGTACGACTGAATCGCGACTAACCTAGCTACGCGGCCGATGTTCGTTTCTGGGCATATCGCGGAGACACGCGCCACGCCCCCGTTTCACATCTATTCCCTTCTATGATCTGAGGCCCGCACCGACCCCACTGCAAGAGAAAGAATCCCCATTCGTATTCAAGTATTTTCCAATAAATGTCATTCGCCAGAGCCGACATGGTATTGATCACTAATTGCCCCACTTACGTCTGCCCCCACTTCTTGTGTGCCATGTAAAAATAGATCGGCCTCTGTTTCGAACGGTTACGGACCTAAATTGTTATATTGCATTCTACCAAGTTTTACTCGATGCATCATCCCTTTGTACATACACTCTTTGTTGGACTTACTTGAGATATTCAAGGAATAAAATTCATGTAAAACTATTTAGAGAGAATATTACNCCCCTCAAAAGATACTGCAATTCCTAATGGATGCAGGACTCGGAGGTGAACTGTAAGGAAAATAGCGGCGATCACAATAGATCGGTACCGGTCGTAGTTACCTATACTAGGACTTTATTGAACTAGAATAGCCGCTCAACTCAATAAAAAAATAGTTCTTCTGCGTTTGAAACACAAATTAGTACAGTATAGGAGAGGAATAAATTTCAAATAGTTTGTACAGTATCAGTATCGGCGCGCCGACAGCTGGTCGTCGGCGGCGGCGGCGTGACAAAATTCGCGGCGGCGGCGGCGCGCCGGCGTGGCGCCCACCTCTAGTGCACACCCAAAAAGGTATCAGTGCCTCCGCATATCCCGATGTCCCATATCAGCCATATCTGATGTCCCATAGGTATCACCGGGACACCTCTCTCCCGCCCTATCTCTAAAGACAATAATCTCACGCGTTCCCGACGCAAGGCATTTCTTTGCCGAGGTTCTATTAAATTCCTTATTTCGAACCACGATCTCTTTTCACCTTAATCTGTTCTTGCTGCACAAAAAATAGGGTTAAAAATCGTCTGCCGGTTTTTATGGGGACGAACGAAGGCGGTGGATTTGTCAGTTTGTTTCTGGGTAATGGGATTTTTTATTGATTTTATTGGTAGGCAAACGGCAGTTTGTGCAAATACGGTACAGATATGGGTGGGCTGATCGCCTACATCGTCGAGTCAAATGTTTTTGTCGCGGGTAGTTCGGGAATTCGAGCAGTTGCTGTTACAACTTACGCTTCCTTTATTTGATGACACGATTGGAGCGGTGGCGCGGTGAATAGCCTTGAACACTTGGTCCTATGTTTTATGCCGGCTCATGTCTCATATACTCGTAAGTCCAGCAGTGGTACATATTAGGCACTAGTTTTCCCTGGATCCCTCTAATCCCGTGCGAGTTATTAAAATCTCTAAGGAACTAGGGAGAAGACAACTGTGTGTGTATGAGACGGTCATCCAAGCCATTGAGTAAACTCATAATTCACCTACCGATAACCATACCCAGGAATTCTTCACCACTACGCCTTTGCCCTTAAAATAAATATCCTTTACATTATTCAATCATTATCGTATCGTATCTTTTACAGTACAGGATAATTCCCAATTTCAATTCCGACGTAACAAAGTACGTGGGAGTAAATTTTTATCTCAGAAGCGAGCACGTGGTGTCGCCGGGTGGATTGCAATTTAACTTGAAGGCCAATGGGGCCAGCAAATTAGCGTTTCATTCGACCCTTTTTCAATATTTTTTTTCTTTAAACGAACATCCAGAGCTGGACATAAGCCTTCCTTGTCCAACGATGGTCTTGCGCTTCCTACATCCAGGACCTACCCACGGCCTTCACCAGATCGGTATTTCGTGGTCGCTACTAAAGATAAGAATACACATACCTTACAGTACTAATCGGCCTATCAATAAAATACATTATTAGATGACTTAGCTTTCAATACAAATAATTTATTAGAGGATTCAGGATTTGGCTTTCCACGCAGCCCACGTATTGGGAAGTCGCCTCTTACGATATCCACAGGAAGAATGGGGATTCCCACTATTATTCTTAACGAATAATCACCTTTTACGACGCCCAAGAGGAATACGGAGGTAGGCCTATATACCCCACCGCTAACTCTATGGCCCCACTAAACGATTTTCAGTAGCTGTTATTAAATCCGTTTTCTGTTCATGAGTTTGGAAACGCGTTGTGTGTCACATTAGCTATAACAAGGTACACTCGCACATGTAAGTGACAATTTAGTGGCAAAAACGTTGTCATGCCGATGCGAATGAAAGAGTTGAAGTTTGAGTGGCTGTTAATCGATTGGAAGTTAGTCGGAGAAGACGTAATATTTTTTTCCTGCTATAGACACCTTTCCTTATTTTCCTCATCTACTACAAAAAGCGGGCAGCGCAGGACCGTTCATTGTGGAAAACCTTGGGGGAGGCCTTTGTCCAGAAGTGGACGTCATTTGGCTGAAACGAACGAACGAACGAACTACAAAAAAACTAACACAGAACTCAAGCCTTAAAATTATTAAGGATAGCAACGCTCAAGACTGTACATTGTACAAATCGTAGTCATAGATCCTTCCCTGTGATCGGTCTGAATGTTGCAATTCAACCAAGTAAGTGGGTGAATATCCCAAACACGTTTTTTACGCGGCGGAGCTGAGAATCGATGGGAGAAATGTAACTAGAGCGATGATTTTTTTTCTGTATATAGTTTATACAGCGTTTTACACGATAGCAAAGTCTTCAGGACAATAGGTAGTTATTTTATGTACTAAAAAAATTTTCAAAGACCCAAAATCTAATAGCGGTGGCGCGTCCTAACTCTATTTCTACTCATAAATTGTGTTATTCCTTCTTTTTCGGGGATTCTAGTAATTTAAAAATAGTATAGCCATAAAATACATTAAATAAGACTTCCAAATGATATGAAAGAAATGTGATATTTCATATTTTAAGTGTTTTAAATAGCCTTTCAAAACTGTCCCACGAAAAAAAGCAATTACAGTGGCTCAATTTCGACACTCTCTTACTTCTCCAAANCCGCTGTATAAATAAATTTTGGTGGATTAGTTCTTAATTCCGGTGGCTCAAATACAATTTCGGTGGCTCTTGATAATTTCAAATTGACATATCTCGAGAACTATTAATAATATTTTGATCTCTACCATATCATTGAATAATACAAGTTATTTACTATTATTTCTGCCACAAAAAAGTTTTGGAAAGTGGAAATTAAAATTCGCCACCGGAATTAGGCAAAAAACGACTTTGTTGATATTCACCCAAGTACCTTAATCTCTATGTTAGAAATTTAATCGAGTTTTGGTTTGGTTAATGATTTAATCATTGAGGAAAGAGCATGCTTCGAAATTTTCTATCTTTTGGAATCCAGAAAAAATCTCAGTACGTTCATAAACTCAGCAGATACTCGTATATTTACGGTTTAATTAACTATAAAATTATCCTTGGACTAAAGCAGGATTTTACGAGGCCATAAAACTTAAGGATTTATATTCCACCTTTCCACAAGTTAAGTGTAGACAATTATAAAGTTTTGTAAGTTAGGGGACGAAAATTTACTTCAAGATTTACCCAGTAAATTATAACTAGATAGCGACGCTATAGACAGGAGGACGCTATAATAGGCCTTTAATAGTTCATTATGATGCAGGAGTAACTTTATTATTATCAAGGCAAAAGTATATTGGAGCTAGAACATAACAATACACACACGTTTCATAAGACACTGTTAACAGAGGAGCATTTATTATTACCATCAGTATCATTATTTCAGCTTATGACAATCCAATGCAAAGCCTCTCTAAGGAGGCGCCACAAACAAAGTAAGATATTATTATCCTCTTTTTTTCTTCAGCTTCTATCAGCGGTCTCTTAAAGTCATCGATTCATCGAGTAGTTAGTGTCTTGCTCTACTTTTGCGCAGACATACATGTATGACAGCACACTCCCAAGAATTTTTAATACTTTTTAAAGGTAGGACGCGAACAGGCAACTTGACCCTATATTTGGCCCCAAAAGGTACTCAAATTCGAATTATTTATTAATGATCCGATTAGACAAGGGTTTTAGGACTAAAATACTCTGTTTTAGTCTCAACTACCAAATTACCTAAAACTGAAAATTATGAGCAATAAGTCTGATTGCCCTATTACAAAATTATCATTTAACGATACATCGTAAAATAAAATTTTAAAGCCATTTCAATAATTATGACTGTGTTAACCGCCCCTCGGTGATTCCGAAGTTAATAATTACGAGAAGTGACATTTTAATTAGGTACCTAGGTAATTAGCAAACTTTTTCAACTTTTTGAATTTGGTAATTGAGAGGTGTGAATTTGGTGAGTTTATTATAGGTGGCATTAATCATGGAACCAAGAAATTAAAAAGTTATAGCTGCTTTTCAAGTTTCAGAATTGATATTCAATTGATTTACATTAAGTTACATAATACATAATTACCTATTGTAGTAAATAAACTTAGTACCTAATATAGAGGTAAAAGACCTGTAGTGAGTAAACTTAGTAATGTAGAGGTAGACCGAGTAGTATATTTTTATTAAAATTTCTACAGACCTGATTTATTGGAATAAGCCCACGTATCTAACATAGGATTCGTGGTTGATGGACCGACGACCTCCAGAAGATAACTTACAATGGTTGGTTGGAAA